CCTACACACACACACACACACACACAGAGAGAGAGAGAGAGAGAGAGAGAGAGAGAGAGAGAGAGAGAGAGAGAGAGAGAGAGAGAGAGAGAGAGAGGGAGAGTTTTTGCCGTTCGGATTTGTTTTGTTTTTGGGTAATAAGGAGGATATGACAGGGAAGTGTTCAGTTGGATGGGATATGGTTAAGGTAGTTAACCCGCTTAGAATTATTTGCAGGGACGGAAACTCCTTAAATCACCAGTACTTGGCCCAGCTATCAAGTCCGAGCCTCCAGTGACCGGTATGTTGAGCCTGCCAAGCCTGGCAGTACAAGTAACTGGACGGGCCGAGGCCGGGGGGACCAGTTGGAAAACAAAAATAGCAAAAAACAACAACAACGACAACATCGATGTGGATGTGAATGCAGTTGGATGCATTCTCCTGAGTGCTAATGTGAGCGCGTTGCAGTTTGGGTGTATCAGCCCCGTGGCGTTTCTGGCAGAATTCAAAAGTAAAACAAGGGGTAAAAAGAAAACAAAAAAATGAATTGCAAAGAAGAAGAAAAAAACGAAACATGAATTTGGCCCCTGAAATTAGTTAGATACATTTGTCTGTGTGCAAGTGTGAGTATGCCCTCAAGGAGGGCTGTTCAGTAGATTACGGGATATGCCCTGCCTCGCTGGCAGGGGAATCTAAGAAAAATGGAAAAAAAAAAAGCAGAAAAAATAGACATCCAGAATCTACCTGAAATACTCGTTAGAAGCATTCCACCAAGAACAGACGTGACCACGACCCCCGCCCAACTTAGAAAGCAGTTCTTTTTTTTTTTTTTTTGGGTTCGTTTTTTTCTACACCGCAATTCTCAGCGACCGGCCGTTCATGTGAACGACCCCCCTCAAATGCGGCGCGTTAACGGGACATGCCTGCAGCCCATTGCTGGGCTAAGTACTGGTGGTTTAAGGTAGTTAAAACTCCTTAAAATCATTTGATGGGATAAACTCCTTAAAGATTGTTTCTCAAGCTTTTTGATATATGTAGGGAGGAGAAACAACAGGAGGGCACTGTGGGGGGGATGCACATCCTTTTCCCTTTTTTTTTTGGGGGGGGGGGGGGGGGGGGGGGGGGGGGGGGGGGGTGAGGGTTAAAAAAATGCAGCTTGGTTTTAATCTGATTACATTTATCAGTATACTGTTTTGGTCATATTTCTCTCCTTGGGATGCAAGATACGTATGCAGAAAGGTCGGTGGCTTGTCGCTGAACAGTCATTGTGATAGTACCTCGTTCCGACATACCAGTTAAGCACCCCAGGAAATTGCGGTTGGGGCTTAGCGGAGTGAGAAGGCTGGTTGCGCCTGGCAAGATTTGTCTGTGAAAGTTTGTTATTGTTTGGGCTGAACAGCTCACAGTGGATAAGGAAAATGGGTCCCTGAGGTACTGTTGGTTTAAAGTTCCCCCGGGCAGGGTTCCGGGCAGCCCCAGCGCCAAAAAAAAAAAAAAAATTGAACTCAAAAAATTCCGGAAAAAAAATATGTTGTGTAGGATTGGAATGCAAACCACTTTTGGCTGAGGGTCACATTGTAATTCCTCACAGAATCGGAGATAAAAAAGAGAATAACAGAATCACACAAAGGCACCCCCCTTTAGACCCCTTTAGCCCCTTTAAAACCAATTTACATCCCCTCCCCCCCCCTTTGACAGCCAACTCGCAAAAAACGAAATGAGCCCGGATTTGGAGTCCTCTGAAAGAGCGCAGAAAACCAAAAAAAAAAAAAAAAAAAATCTTTTTTTTTTTTTTTTTTTTTTTGTACGCCCGGGTGTCCGGCCGGCCGGGCGTGAGAATCTTCCTAGGAACAGTCTTTTTTTTTCTTGAAAACCCGAAATCTTGTTACCAAGGGGGGAGGGAGGGGGGGGGGTCGGTACGAGCAGCCTCCTTTAGGAAATGTCTTGGTTGGTCCACAATGTATTGCCATCTGAACAGTCTACCGTCTTCACCCGAATAGAACGCCCGGTCATTAGAGCTGTATTTGGCACAACTTTCGGTCCAGATGCAGCGATAATTACCGGGCGTTCTATTCGGGCGAAGACGGTAGTCAAACCACCAGTACATTTCCGTAGCCATTTTGCGGAAATGCGGTGTGCATGCGGGTGTGTGTGTTGGGTGGGCGCCACTAG